GAATTTTCGACCCTTGCCGAGTTATTTTCCATTTTTATGGACAGGGACTCTTAAACATTAATGATTATCGTAGAAATATCTCCATACCAAAGAAAGCTGTGTTTGATCTTCCACATGCAAGTCACCTGCACGTGAGAATCTCCTTTGACATATTGCCCTTGCCACATTTCATTTCATGATACGCTGAATTGTTTCCTTATTTATCTCTTTTTTAAACACTTCCTTATCCATAGCTACACGATTTCGTTTGTTCAGTTTCTGAGGTACCTTGAACCCTGCGACCGGGAAATTGTCACAATCATCCACTGATGATGAATGCATAGTCGATACTGTTTTCTGCCGCCTCCATTGCTTTTAAAAAAGGCATAAATCGACTCATCTTGCTGGAAACGAAACGTTACAAATTCTCGGTATTTCAGTTATGACGTTTCCTCGGCAGGTTGTCCCTGTTTCTGCGGTAAATGTATTAACTAACAATTAGTTTACACACTCACCAATGCTGATGGATGTCAGTCGAAACTCTTCGTCCTTTTTATGATTTCAAAAATAGAGATTGTAATATTAAGTTGATTATACTTTATTGATCTGATCTGAGGTCTGTTTTGTAAATTTTGTTCTCTACTCACGATATATTTTATAGATTTATATATTTTATAGATTTACCGTTGAATTCAATTCAATTCAGTACTCAAGGTAAATTCTTTCATATACTCAAACAAATGAGAAACTCTTTCAGTTCTTAACTGCAAGAACATGCATACATGTTTATTTCCTATGCAATGGTTTAAAGACATGTCTCGCCCAACTCCGCATAACCTTTAAGAAATATAACTATGATTTTCCACAGAATGCCTCGTTGTATCAGTCATATAATTCTGTTATGTCTGAAGTATCTTACGAAAAATACTTTATCAATTGGCTGTATCAGGCTTTTTATCGTTCAAAGGTCGCATGTGATACTCCCTCCCCAATAGCGAAGTCTAATGTATTCAATCTTTTGATATAATTCTACTTTGGTTTCTGGTTCCTGAGGTTTACGTGCAATAAAAGTTTTTTGTTTTGCTTAAATTCGGCCCTGGAATAAGAGAGAAAAATCGCGTGTTGAGTACTAAATGAGGAAGTTAAAAATGAGTGTGCCAACTCTCGAGATGTGGTATCGTTATTCCGATATTTACTGCGGGTAATGATAAAAGAATTTACCAAAGAGGACAAAACATAGGACGTAAAAAGAACGTAGAAACGTCCATCTCTCAGTATTGTAAATAAAATCCAACAGCTTTCTTCTGAGACTTCTGACAAACTTTTACTCCGTTCTCGATTAATTTGTTGGCCATTCCTTTTCTCTGCCTTCTTGATATGGGAGACGCTCCGTTTTTACCGTAACATTTCAGACATTTTACCTAACTTGATAAACAGGACGTGTTGACAAAAAATGGGCGCTGAGATCTGCGGTTTGGTTCAGCGGGACACAAGATTGTCAATCATTTTCTACCGTTAAATTATAAACACCGTGGCAGAAAAAAGAGCAGAGCTGATTTCCAACTTTCGAGGTTTATCGCAAAACAATTATTGATTTCAGTTTCAACTTGCAAAGAAAGAACTAACCCAAATGTTATGCTTGAATTTTCCACTGGGTACAAAGATTTATTATTTTTTTTCACTGCGTGAATACTTCCTCTGTAACTCTCTAGCAATACGTGCTTTTGTAACTTTAGATATCAGCAAGGTGTTGTGTTATACCTTTAAATTAAAACTGGCCAATCACATGTTACTAGATACGGAAAAGCAAAACAGGATGAAGCTTCTAAACAATGTGTTGTTCTTCTTAAATGTAACATTAGCCATGAATATGGTTCAGTATTCACTTCCTCCGAAATAACATATCGCGATCAAATAAACAAGCCGATCAACAGGTAGAAGAAACTCCAAGTAATTCTGCCTTTACATAGCCCTCGAAAATTACAATCCACCTCATTATTAGCGTTGCAACAAAACCAGGTGCATGCACTAACATTGTGTCTCGAACTAACTGGCTCTGTTTGCCGAGAAGATTACAACTAACTGTAGAACTGATTCTCACTGGAAGAGGAGATGTGTAACAGAGCAGTGCTTGTGAGGAGTGTGACTGTTCTGGTTTCTTTAGTAGTGCGTACTTTATGATTCTTTCTTCTTTCCTCTCCTAAATTGACATTTCTGCCAAAATAATTGGAGGAAATCGAATCACTTCTTAAAAAAGAGTTGCTTGCGCTTGTAATTACGACGTGATCAGCTGCTCA